GTTTGGAGTTCGCTTTTGATGCTGTACATTCTATGGGTTTTGACAAATGAATAATGACGTGTATCCACTAGTAAAGTATCATACACAATAGTTTCATTGCCACCAACATCCTCTGTGCTCTGCCTATTCATTTCTCCTTCCCCTCTAGCCCCTGGAAACCACTGGTCTTTTCACTGTCTCCATAGTTTTATCTTTTCTAGAATGTCACAGAGTCAACCATTTTTTAAAAAGTAGGCTCCAGGGGCACCTGGATGGCTCAGTCGTTAAGTGTCTGCCTTTGGCTCAGGTCATGATCCCAAGGTCCTGGGATTGAGCCCCACATTGGGCTCCCTGCTCCGCGGGGAGCCTGCTTCTCCCTGTCCCACTCCCCCTGCTTGTGTTCCCTCTCTTGCTGTCTCTTTCTCTGTCAAAAAATAAATAAAATCTTTAAAAAATAAAAATAAATAAATAAATAAATAATAAAAAGTAGACTCCAGGGATCCCTGGGTGGCTCAGTTGGTTAAGCGGCTGCCTTTGGCTCAGGTCATGATCCCAGGGTCCTGGGATTGAGTCCCACATCAGGCTCCTTGCTCAGTGGGGAGCCTGCTTCCCCTCTGCCTGCCACTCTCTCTGCTTGTGTAATCTCTCTCTCTGTGACAAATAAATAAATAAAATATTTTAAAAATTAAAAAATTAAAAGTAGACTCCATACCCAACATAGGGCTTGAACTCATGAGCCTGAGAGCAAGAGTTGCATGCTCTACTGACAGAGCCAGCCAGATGCCCCAAGAATGTTATACACCTGGAACTGTACAGGATGTAGCCTTTTCAGATTGGATTCTTTCACTTAGTAATACACATTTAAGGTTCCTCCATATTTTTTCATTGTTTGATAGCTCATTTCTTTTTAGTGCTGAATAATATTTCATTGTATGGATGGACCACCATTTATCCATTCACCTACCAAAGGACAACTTCGTTACTTCTAAGTTCTAGCAATTATGAATAAAGCAGGTATAAACATCCATGTGCAGGTTTTTGTGTCAACATAAGTTTTCAACTCATTTGGATACCTAGTAGTAACATCTAGATCTGGTAGTACAACTGCTGGATCAAATGGTAGCCTCTATACCTTTTCATCAGAATCTTCACATGTTGTGTCAACATTTACCTTCAAAATTATAGAACGGGTACTTTCTCACATTTGGAGCTTGCATTTGGAGTATGAGGGTAGAAAAATGAGTTCACCATAACTCCAAGATCTTTGGCCTAAGCAACTACAAGGAAGATGCTATCATCTACTTAGGTGAGAAAAGAGTGGAAGGTATAGACTGGAAGTGCAAAATTGGACAGTTTGGTTAATTTGAGATAGATAGATAGATAGATAGATAGATAGATAGATAGATAGATAGATAGATATCTCCAAGTGGAGATGTCATGGAGGCAGTTGGATATGAGACTGAAATTCAGGGGAAGAGACCCAGGCTAAGGACATAAAGTTTAGGGTCACCAGGAGCCCTAGTGAGTATAAAAGAAATCAGAGGAATAGTCCTGGGGTACTCCAATGTTTAGAAGATGGAAAGATGAAGAATATTCAGCAGAAAAAAAGAGGAGTATTCAGTGGAATAGGACGGAAACCGGAAGAATGTAAATAAGTGTCACACAGAGGAAGGAACAACTAACTACTAAACGCTGCTGAGCAGTCAACTAAGGTGAAGACTGACGACTGACTGCTGGATTTAGCAACTAAGTGCAAGTCACCGGTACAATAATTTCAATGGAATGATGGGGGAAAGCCTAACTGGAGTGGGTTCAAAAGAGAATAAGAGGGGGAAAAAAAAGAAAGAATGAGAGGAAGGGAAACTATCTGGCATAAACAAGTCTTCTAAGGAGTTTTGCTATGAAGGCATGGAGCCATATTGAAGGAATGTGGAGTCCTTCTTAAAACAGAAGAAATGACAGATTCTTTGTAAATGATAGGAAGAAAACAAAGGAAAAAAGATGATAAAAAAGAAGAAGAGAGAAGGGAGAGAGTGGCTGGAGGGATGCAGGTGAGAGCAGATGGGATCACAGCAGAAGTAGAAAAGCTGGCCTTAGATAAGAACACTAAGAGTTCATCCAAAGTAACAGAGCATATGGCACAAATGATAAATGGGAAGGTGTAAGTGGTGGCAAGAGCCTATAATTTAGTTCATTTATGATTCCATCTTCTCAGTGAAATAGAAATTGAAGATATCAGCTAAGAATGTAATCAAGGAGAATGTGTTGAAGGTTTGAGAGAAAGGAGAAGATATGAAAAAATCACCTCCTAATAGCAGAGTAAGCAAGTGAATGAACTAAGGAAGTTAATAAGGACTGTGTGATAGTGTCATAGGTCCACTAGACACCGAATTATAGTGATATCACTCTGCGAGGTTATGTGTTTTTCTTCAGGAACATTCAATTGCACAGGTGCGTGTGTGAAGTAGGCAGAGTCACATTTAACCATGGTTGGATTTTGCTAGAGGAGTAGGATGATAAAAGGGAGCAACAAGGGAGTGCTTGTAATAATGTACCATGAAACTCCAACTGGACAAAGAGGGGATATATGGACAAGAGAGTGAGGGAAAGTACAAAGGTACTTTGAATCAATGAATTCCCTCCTGCTGATAGCGATGTGGAGATCAGAGGGGACCTATGGGTTTATTCCATAAGCACAGAAGTTTCCCCAAAGAATCACAATAAGCCAACTGTTTCTGAGAGAGTATTGTGTACAACACCTTGCACTCTTTAAGGGTTTTGCATCAGTGGGAACTCATAATAAAAGCTTGTACTGACCAAAGCCTTGGCATTTTATATACATTACTGTATTTCATTCTCACAATAATCCCAAAAGGAAAGCATTATCATTACCATTTTATAGACAAACTAAGGCTAGAGAGATTAAAGTACCTTATATGCTACCTCAGCTCCTCAAAACAGTCTTCAGAGACCTCAATCCCTATATAAAATCCAAAATATCAGAATTTCACATGAAGAAATCCTTTATTTTTATAAAGATTAACATTTCCCTTGTACTCCAGGCAAATAAATGAAGAAGTTATTTTGTAAAGACTTATGATAGCCCTTTCTCTGACCAATCTGATCTGAGTAATACTCCTTTATGACACTCCAATACATTGAGGAAAAAAATTTAGCTACATGTTATTCTCTAGTCTTTTATGTGTGTGCATATATATACATATATATATATATGTATATATATTTTTTAAAAGCCTACCTCCATAGAGAATTTTACAATGACTGAAGGAGTTCAACGGAAGACAGGTGCATCAATGTATATGAAGAACCATGAAGAAGTTAGTTCATGGACCAAGCAAGCTACAAAAATAAAGGAAAAGAAAAAAGAGAAAGAAACAGAGGTTTTCAGTTCATACACCCCCTAAAGAAACAGAAAAGAACCAAGACAGTGTCAGAATTTTAAAGTTAAATATAGATGAACTGAAGGAAAAAAAAAAAACAGCATTACTTGGAAATCTTCCTAAATTGAGTATTACTTCCAAATAATTGAAATTAATAAAGCATGCTATAACATTTTAGTTAATGAAGACATAGTTGCCGTATGGTTGACTAACATATTATTCTTTCAGTAGAATCCATAATAAAATAACCTATTAAGATGTTAAAAACTACCACAATTAGGTAAAAATAATCTTGTCACAGAGAGAAGCAGAATTTCAAAACATGAAATTTTTGAAATTTCAGCAGGATTTATAGATACTTATTTAATGCTATTATTCCTGAATTTGGGATGCTGTTATGAACAACTTGTACTTTCAGATTACTATCACTGCATTGTTTCCTAGTATTTTTATCTGCACTGTCACCCAAGCCCCTTGAAAGAAAAGGCATACATTTGCAAGCTGGATGACCAAAGGTGCTGGTACAAGTTATAGCTGTGAACTGTGGATCCTAAATCAGCTTTGCCTAAGAATCATCAGGAGGACTTTTAAAAACATATTTCTAAATTGCACCTCAGATTCTTGGAATTAGAATCCCTGTGGTTTATGAATCTCTGTTTATAAAAAGATCTGCAGGTATGTCTGATGGCATAGACAGATTAAATAGAGTAGAGCTAAGTATGCTCTGGAGAGTCTTAAAATTCTCAAGAAATACCTTTGGGCTTCTCTCACCTGTTCCAGCCAGAATCCTATTTTTATCTATTTTATGTATCTATTCTGCTTCTTAAAGTCTGAAAACTATAAAATCTGATAGAGCAGAGTGAATTCACCCACACAAGAATTAAACTCATGATTCTGGCATCAAAACTGACCTAATCCAAACATAAAAGAGACCAGACAGATAAAAAGACCAGGATTGATGGACACAGAATATTTGTTAATGCCATAAGAAAAGCTCTACTAAAGCACTTCTGTAATTCATATACTTTTATTCATTGCAACTGAAGAGAACCTAATACATGACTGAATTAAAGTTCCAAATGGAAAAATGCATATACATATCTAAATTGTTTTAACTGCATATAATTCTGTCATTTCCAAAAAAACTACCTTATTCTAGACTTGCAATTAAAAATATAAAACTAAATAAATCTGAAGTTTAGTGACCTTGTCTCCTACAGAGCAGGCAGGAATAAATCTGAAAAGGTGTTCTCCTTGAGGAAATAATCACCCTAGGAGAAATATGATCAGAATAAACACCTGTCTACTGCTTCCCCATAACATAAAGTTTGGATTCTTTAAACCCCTTTCAGGGGTTTCCCCTAACCTACCCTAATCTAGAAAACTATGCTGTGTGCTACAGAGAAAGGCAGGTAAGTTTCCTCCTCCCATTCTGTCTTTAAATATTCTCCTAGGATTGGGTCTATCTATTCTGGCCTTTTGAAATTCTCCATTTCAACCACCCTGCCTAATAATAATGTACACCTGCTGGAAATTAAATTTGAGACATCCAATCCTTTGTGTGGTTATCATCTCAAAGGGTTGCTTCAACAAATAACTCAGCATAATATTTTCACTCACCTGTCTGAATGCACATACTAAGCAGGAGGTGAACTGAGTAAGAAGCCAGGAGAGCAACTATCAACAGCAAGAAACTGAAATATAAAAGAGTACATGGTCAAACCCCCACAAAGTTTTCTTTTTTGAGGTATCTCATTACAAAACAAATTTTTTTCACATTCAAATGTTCACAGGGACTATCTTTGAGTAGTTGGATTATGGTTACTAAAGAAAATATTATTCTGTATTTACCAAATTTTATTTAAATGAAAATATACTGCTTTTAGATTAAAAAAAATAAATCAGAAAGAAACAAACTTTATTTAAAACAAAACCAATTTTCTCCTTCAGCACTCTTATCTGCTGACTGCTGGTTCAGCCATTCAGTGATCTTGTACTGTTTCCCTTTTATAACTATTTCTTCCTATTTTAAGTCTAAACAGAAGTTTTAGTTGTGAAATCTCATTGTCTTCTTTTTCCTTCCCTCCATCCCTCCTCTTCCAATGACTGTACCTCCCTATTATATCTTCACCTATAATACTGAGTTAAGACTGTATTTCCTAGGGGCATCTGGGTGGCTCAGTTGGTTGAGCATCCAATTCTTAGTTTCAGCTCAGGTCATGACTCCAGGGTCGTGGGATGGAGCCCCATGTCTGGCTCCCCAGTCAGTGGGGAGTCTGAAGATTCCCTCTCTCTCTCCCTCTTCCCCTCCCCCACTCACATACCCTCACTAAAATAAATAAATCTTAAAAAAAAAGACTGCATTTCCTAGCATCCATTAAATACATACACACTCACCAAACCAAACCAAAGCAGTTAACACACATCTATTGACACAATTTGAAAAGGTACAAATAATGTAATAATTAGGGTCCTTTCACCAAAAGTGTGAAAAGAGACAATATGCATAATTTCCTACTTATTCTCAGGAGGATACGGACAGGACAAGCTTCTTAGAAAGCTGGCACTAGTGAGTGCCCCAAGAAGTTGAAGAAATTCTTTATGGTCTACTTAATACTTGTTATTAAGTAGCAAAGCTGAGAGGTACACTTACCATTTGTATACAAGTACACCTGTCAGTACACTTGAGGCCTCACAAAATAACAGTTTGGTATCACTAAATGGAAAATGTGACATGATTCAGTAAGGACATGTTCAGTGGTATACATCTGCATGTAAGGCCCTGGAGTACAAAATGTGATTTTTCAAAGGGAACCCAAAAATGAGTCCTATGATTATGTCTTGCCTAAGATGTCAAATACAGTTTTGAAGTTTTAAAATTATGAAAGTTTGTTAAGAAACAAAACAAACAAGCAAAGAGGGAAAAAGAGAGATAGAGAAATCAAGAAATAGACTGTTAACTATAGAGAACAAACTAATGGTTACGGGGGGGGCGGTGGTAATAGGTGATGGGGATTAGGGAGCGCACTTGTGATGAGCACTAGGTGATGTATAGAATTGTTGAATCACTACGTTGTACACCTGAAACCAATATAATACTGTATATTAACTAAAGGGAATTTAAATTAAAACTTTTAAAAAATTATGAGGGGCACCTGGCACTCAGTAGAGCATGCTCAGGGTCATGATTTCAAACCCCACATTAGTGTGGATCCTACTTAAAATTTTTTTTAGGTTTTAAAAATTATGAAAGTTTGTGCATATAACCCATTATAAAAGCAAGTTGGGGGGGCGCCTGCGTGGCACAGTTGGTTGAGCGTCCCACTCTTGGTTTCTACTTGGGTCATGATCTCAGGGTCACAGGACAGAGCCCCGGGTCAGGCTTCTGGCCCAGGTGGAGTCTGCTTGAGATTCTCTCTCCCTCTCCCTCTGCCCCTCCTGCTTGTGCACACGCTCTCTCTCAAGTAAATCTTTAAAAAACAAAAAAAGGCAAGTGGGTTACTTAAAAATTGGTTTGCTTATCAAGAAATTAAAAATAAAAGCAGAAAATAAACCTAAATGAGACTCGATGCATTTTAAATTTCCTGATAAGATAGATCTGCTTCTATTGATAAACAAAACAAACGCTAAATGCTAAAGATAAGGTCTAGTTCTAAAGGATTTCAGTTTCACAGGGAAACTAACTTGCAAACAAATCACTATAACACATTATAATAACAGAATGAATATACAAAGTACTATGGAAACGCAGAAAAGCCAGGAATGTCTCCTCTTTTGGGCCAACTGGAATGAGTCGAGTCTAGATGAAAAGGAATAGGCACAGAACACATGTCTCAGGGAAACAAGACTACCTAAGAGTAGGAAGACAGGAGAAGATGGGAGAGAAATGAAAAGATTATGAACTTAACCCTCATAAAATTGCTATTTATAGGTAATCTGTATGGCTGATAAACTTTAATTCACTTTGGCCAACTTGACACAACAAATAGCCACTCCTTAAGGTTATTATAAGCAAGTGTGGATCAAGTTTCCATTTTAAAAAATTAGCCACACTTTTGGATAAAAAATACAAATTATATTGCATCCCTCCAAGCTACAGACTGGCAACAATAGTAGGAAAATGCTAGAACCCCAGAAATAATTTAACTAGACACTGTATAACACCAGCTCTGGAGCCTATCTCTTTGCTTCTCAGTGTACTATCAAAATGGAAGAAAAATAAAATAAAAGTAACAGTAAAAGAAGAAAAAAAAAACTCACCTAAATCCAAGGATGCCAGTATGAGCCATAACATAAGCTAAGCCAAGGATGCCACTTCCCATGATGGCATTCGTCATATTAAACACAGAAAAACCAAATGAAACACCTGGGGATCCCTGTCTGTAAAGTTCCTGCAAGCACACAAATTTAATAGTGTTAAAATGTTTGGATGGTGAAGTTCAAACTTCATCAAGAAATGAATGACAAGTTATGGAGAAAGTCTCCTGCAAACCACAGGCACTGTGTGACACACTAGTTTCTCAAGCAGCACTGGTTTCCTTTCTTCCCTTCCCACCTCTCACTAGTGCAGCGCCAGGAATCTTGTTTCTTAGGAAAATCATCTCCACCAGTACGGAGCCCAGGCAGACTTCGGGAAAAGCCATGATTAACCTTGTGACTGCAAAAGATGAAGACAGGATAGGAATGGGGTGGGACAGAGAGAAGGGAGATGGCCTCAGCTCGTGTGATTACTGAAGAAATCCTTAGTTAGCTTGGGGCTGCTGTAGACCATGGCTGCTCCCCAATACTGGGACTGCAAAAGTAATCTCTATATATTTAATGAATTAAGTCAGCTCAAATGCAAGGATGGTCAGGAATACCTTGCAATGACGATATAATACATAGAAGCAATTCACGTTGCTCTACCGAAGATACCCTTGAAAACACCCTCTCCCAAAACAGCATTTGGGAGCAAAGTCCTAGAAACTGTTACAGAGCAGGGACTTGAGTTAAAAGGCTAAGGACCCACTGCACAGGCTTTAGGGCCAAGGAAGTACCTATGGACTTATCACCAGGCCACCTCCACTCCTTCACCGCTAAGGATTTCTGTATGAAGATGTTTCTTAGGCAGCCAATGACTAAGTCTAGAAAGAAAAATCTTGTTGACTCTGGCAAAAACCTCACAAGACTGGTGGAGGGAACAGGAAGTCCACAAAGACACTCACAAACAGCACTGAGTTACATAACGCTAGGGCTGCTCATCCAGTCAGCCTCTTCCACCTGTGCCTGCGCCTTCAGCTTTTCTTTCTGAGCCATGTTACGCTGCTAGCACATTCATACACTCCGCCGGCTCTCATCCGCCTCTGGCTGCTGCCTTAGGGCGCCATCCGCCAAGAGTCAGGCTCCAGCTTCTCCCTTATCCCCATGCCACACCCCCACCTCCTTCTTTTCCCGGTCTCACTTGCCAGGCATTTCAGGGAAGCCCGGAGGCCTTCAGCACCGAGAAGGAGCGGAGGCCACTTACGTTGCTTAGCAACGGGCTCAACTCTTCCGCCTCCGCCTCTTCGGGCTGCTGGGCAGAGACGTACCAGCTCCGCTCAGCGTTGACGATCCCCCAGGGTGCCTCCATACTGCTCGCTGGCCGACTACCAGGTCCATGTGCGAGCTACCACCCCAGCCCTCCAGTCGTTAGTCGCATCGGAGGCGGGGCTGTGGGCCCGGCCCTTCTGAGTTCCGGTACCTCACCAGGGCGGGGAAGAAAGGAGGGAATCGACGCGATCTGATGACGCTCGCCCCTCGGTGGCGAACGGTGATGATGTCATCGAGGGCCAGCCTTCCGCGAGCGGCCCATTTACGAGCTGCACCAGAGCATGAGGTGAGGGGTCTATTCTCGGAGTCAACCGCGGAGCGATGCCAGGAATTGGGATGGTGACGTTGGTGAGGTGGTGACCGCAAAGCCCCTGAGGGGAGAGGCTGAGGGTCGGGCGGCAGTACCCGTCCACCACGATCTGCTCCCCGCCGCGCGCCTCTTGGGCGCAGAAACGTCGCGAGGTCACCCACCGCCTGGGTGCTGAGCCTAGGTCCGAGTAGTGGCTAGGAAGGAATGTGTTTAATCTTTTCAAAAGCTTTCTGAAAGAGCCTTTCATTTTACACGTGGGAAACCGAGACTCGGGTTAAGATATTACAAGATCACACAGCTGGTTAACTGCTAGCCGAATTTGAACCCTGACTGTGAAGTTTGAGAATTGCTTTACAGGGTCCTGGGGCAGGGCCCTTTCCCCTGCTAATTGGTTCTTTGGTATTTTAGAAGGCAAAGTGAATAACTGATACTATGAATGAATGGAAGGGGCATGTAACATTTAGCAAATCCTAGTCCTCAGAATACCAAAACCTCAAGTCATAGGCAGGACTTGTGGTAGTAAAACATTGAAGACAAACAACGTAGCAATATATTAAGACCACGGGCTCTGAAGTCAGTCAGACCTGGTTTTTAATCCTTGCTCAGCCGCTTACAGCAGCGAGACTGGGTGAATTAACCTACTTCTGACCTTTAGTTTGCTCGTTTACAAAATAAGGATGTGATATCACACACCTCCCAAGATTGATAATGTGTGTAAAGCATGTAGCAGTCAGAAGAATATCCTAGTAAATATTGCCATTGGTAAAGTCTTAAGTATAATGACCATTTCATTTAGAGGTGATCTTTTAACTCAAATCTCAGACTTCCAATCCCACATGTATGCTATAGAAAATTGTGGGTGGAGAAGTTCATAGACTATAGGGAGGCTGATGGATCACTAAGCCCTTGTCGTGGCAGCAGGTGGGTTGAAGGTGCAAATTTATCATTTATTGCTAATAAAAGACAACATATCATGGAAAAGATAGTATACTTGTCACCACTAGAAGTTTTAATTATCAGCATTTAGCGGTTGTTTAAAACTGTAGAATTCAGATTTTTTTTAAGATTTTATTTATTTAGAGTGGGGGGAGGGGCAGAGGGAGAGAATCTCCCGCAGACTTCCTGCTGAGCACCGGGCCTGATGCAGAGCTCAATCTCATGACCCTGTGATCATGACCTGAGCCTAACTCAAGAGCCCCACACTTAACTAAGCCACCCAGGCACCCCTAGAATTTAGAGTTTTATTCTTAAGCTATTGTGAACATGTAAGTTTGTAGTTTTATGGTAATTTTTTTAAATGCATACTTTTTTTTAGGATCTTATGGAGGCCATTTGGATTCTCAAGAACACTTTTTAAAGTGGAAAGCTGTAGAATATCTGAATCAGAATCACTGACTCCACTAGGTTGGACATCACAGATACAGAAGCTTAGCAGAGCACCTGGTATTTTCTTGTTGGATCAAAGAAAAAGATTCTCAACCATGCCTGAAATAGAATCAGACCAGAGAGACTCTGAATTGTTTTCACCACCCTCTAATGTTCGAGGAATGACAATACTTGATAGAACAGCTTTTAAAAAGACAGTAACCATCCCAGTGCTTAAAGTAAGGAAAGAAATAGTCAATAAATTGATGCGATCCCTTAAAAGGGCAGCACTGCAGCGCCCAGGCATAAAACGTGTGATTGAAGATCCAGAAGATGAAGAAAGTAGACTAATTATGTTGGATCCCTATAAAATATTTACTGATGATTCCTTTGAAAGAGCAGAACTCAGTATTTTAAGGCAGCTTAATGTCAATCCACAGATATCTAAATATAATTTGGAACTAACTTATGAAAACTTTAAGTCAGAAGAAATCTTGAAAGCTGTGCTTCCGCAAGGTCAAGATGTGACTTCAGGTTTTAGCAGAGTTGGACATATTGCCCACCTGAACCTTCGGGATCATCAACTACCTTTCAAGCATTTAATTGGTAGGTATGTCTTTCATGTACTAGAAAGTAATTAGCAAGTTCTAATTTTAGTTTTTAAAATTATTTTCTTAGATGTCAAATTACAGAAGCAGGACATTTTATCATTTTAATTTTAAACTGGATCTTGGGCTACATACCCTCTCTTTTGAGAATAGTTTTGGAATATTCTTTTTTTTTTTTTTTTAATATTTTATTTATTTATTTGAGAGCGAGAAAGCGAGCATGTGAGAGAGAGAGCGCGAGTGATGGAGAGGGAGAAGCAGGCTGCCCATCGAGCAGGGAGCCCGATGTGGGGCTCGATCCCAGGACCCTGGGATCATGACCTGAGCCGAAGGCAGACGCTTAACCGACTGAGCCACCCAGGCGCCCCGTTTTGGAATATTCTTTCCCGAGTGATAGCAAAGCTCTAAAAATCATTTCAGGCTTTTGTGTATACAGTATACAAGCATAGATTAAACTCAAATCTTTCGCTTTGGCAGAATTCTTTGGCATCTTGTCATTTTGGTACACAGGACTTATTTGACCCTCAGGACTATGTTGAATTCTAGGTTTCTTAAATTTGAGTGTTTTACCATGAAAAGTGCAAGACCTTTACTCATGTTTTGATTCAACTGATTGAGCCTCTTCTATATGTCAGGCACCATACTTTGTTTTTTAGTGCCCTTATCCTTTTAGAAATGGTGCTTTTGTGGGATGCCTGGGTGGCTCAGTCAGTTAAGCGTCTGCCTTCAGCTCAGGTCATGATCCCGGAGTCCTAGGACTGAGTCTCACATGGGGCTCCCTGCTCAGCAGGGAGCCTGCTTCTCCCTCTGCCTCCTGCTCCCCTTGCTTGTGTGCGCTCTCTCTCTTCCTCTCTGACAAATAAATAAATAAAATCTTTAAAAAAAAAAAAAATGATGCTTTTCTATGTTGTACCTCCGTAAGCCCAAGTTTGAGCCTGGGTCCTTTATCCTTTGGGATAAGAAAGAAGACGACTAATCACGATTGCAGTTAACCTTATACAAATATTTGATGTCCATGTATTCTCCAGATTAATTTTTTTTAATGTAGAGTAATTGTCAGCACTTCTGGGAATTATTTTCACCTTTAAAATGTAGTTCTCAATATTTTGCATGGGTAGAATTTCAGAAATAGGCTGTTATGCATTTCCTTTGTTTTTATTGATGGACGGGGCTAATAATATAAAAAAATATCTAAGCAGATCTTTATAATTATAACTGGGTGCAAATGTCAAGGATAAGCTTTGCTATGAGTCATTACTTGCCATAACTCAAACATGCCTTTTGGCATCCCTACTTTATAAAGGGGCATTCAAAGATTAAAAGTGAAACATTCTCATACAGTGATAATTTTAAAGCTTTTACTATAGACTTTCAGAATTGGTTTTGGTTTTTTTATTTCATGCCTCATTTCAAACTCCTGTAACCTTAAAAATTGAGTTCTGATACTTGAAGCAGAACAGGATAAGAACAATGATTGGCTAGAGTTTATTGATATTATCATATTCAAAATCAGGTATCTAATTATCAGAAAGAAACTGGACAAATTTTGGTTATATATCAGTGTATTTGTATTTTTGAGTACTTTTTACTAACTTACAAATCAAGTTATCTTTTTTTTTTTTTTAAAGATTTTATTTATTTATTTGACAGAGAGAGAGAGAGCACAGGTAGGCAGAACAGCAGGCAGAGGGAGAGGGAGAAGCAGACTCCCCACCGAGCAAGGAGCCCAATGTGGGGCTCGATCCCAGGACCCTGGGATCATGACCTGAGCCGAAGGCAGACGCTTAACGACTGAGCCACCCAGGCGCCCCTCCAAATCAAGTTATCTTTATGCAGTGAGATTAGCATATAGATTCTTAAAAATTTTTTAAGTGCTGAAAAAAAGGTAGACTAATTAAAGGGCATCAATATACCATTTCTGGTGTATTTTATTATCTTTGTAGCTTTTTCGGCTCTGGCACATATTTGACAAAAAGAACAATTTAAGTAAATGAACATTGTATTTAGATAAGACTCTAAAGAATGTTTCTTTTTTTTTTTTTTAAGATTTTTTTATTTAAGAGAGAGAGCGCACAAGAGAGCGGGTGGGAGGGCTAGAGGGAGAGGGACAAGCAGACTCCCCACTGAGCAGGGACCCTGAGATCATGACCTGAGCTGAAGTCAGATGCTTAACCAACTTAGCCACCCAGGCACCCCAAGAATCTATGTTTCTTTTATTTGAAAACTTATTTTGCTGTTCTATATTGCCAAAGGGAAGGCATCTGTTTCAAGCACACAGTAAAGCAGACATTTGGTTTG